CCAATTCCCCAATAAAAAAAAAATCTTTAAAAAAAAAAAGAATTATCAACTTAATGAAAATAGTGCTATCTTTAAAACAAATAAATCATCAATAAAATTAAAACATAAAATAAAATCGATAAATCATAATTTTGATATAGTAAAAAGTTTCCTTATTTAAATCTTAATTGAAAGTAAAATGAAATGACTAGCATGGAGAGAGTGTGATGGTGATTGAATGATCTATTTAGTATACCACTTATATTCTCAGCACATTATTTCCATCCTAGTTTTCATATTGCGTACCTCAATAATCCAAGGTCTCAACATTTCCAAAGATTAACGAAAAGAAATTACTTCAAAAATTAGATATTCTCCAAAGTTAACTCTTTAAGATTTGAGTCTTTGATATGTCATCAATTTTGAAACAAAGAACTCTTTAACAATTACACATTTTTCTTTTTTAATTCTGATTTACAATTCTTTTGATTCCAATGTTGAAGACATAGGGTTGTTAAAAACAGTCTATCCAGAAAGGTTTCTAAATCCTGGAAAGATTATGTTCTGAAGAGAAATTATTGTGTAATGGAGTTTAAAATTAAACTGCTTCTCCACAAATATATATGTATATATTACAAGACTGAATACAGAAACAGATAGGAGAATCAAGCTATTTTCTTTTAAACTTTATATTAGAGGTTTGCAAAAATGTAAAACAATTCCACTCAACAAATTTTGTTTTATTTTGGAAAACAGTTATCATAAAAATGTTATTTATATTAAATGGGTTTATATTATTTTTAAATGAATAAATCCCTTTAAATTTTCTCTCACTTTAATATCTAATATGGTAAATATCAACATATACAACCCACAGAAGCAAAAGCTCTTTGAGGTCCTAAATTTTTAAGTGTAAATGAGACTAGAGACCAAAAGTTTGAAAACCACTGGCCTAGAAAACTAGGCCATCTTTAGATTGACTAGCATAGTGGCCTACAGAGGCCAGTTACACCCAGGTCTATACACACACACTCCTTTAACTAATCTGCTCTTAGTTAAAGTGTGGCTTTGACACCATGTTTGTATCGAGAGAACTACCCTACTGAATCAGGATATACCAATCAGATCCCTCTCCTCAGGGATTTGGAATTGAGAAAATCAGCTACAGGGAACTGAGTTGCAAAGTGACCATAGTAGGAGTCAAGATGAGCCAAAGCATGTGCCAGAGAAGTTACAGGGGAGCAGAGAATGCCAGTCTAGACACAGACCAGAGTGGACATGCAGAGAGAAGTGGAGCCAGGAGACCTTGCAGGCCCAAGACAGCAGCGGCGGCCTTGGCTCCTGACTCTGCGCTCTAGGGTCAATCCCCACAAGAAGCTGATGTACTTCTTTCCTTGTCCTGGGATGCCTATTAAACTGCTTACAGTCTTACAATAAGTCCTCCTTTACTTAATGTAAGCAGAGAAGGTTTTTATTTCTTAGAATTGTAAGATCCCAAGTTAAGTCCCAAAATAACTACACAAACCTTGGAAACAACCCAAATGTCATTTCCATCAACTGATGGATAGATAAAATCAGGTACACCCATACAAGGGACTATTATTCTGCCATAAAAAAGAATGAAGTACTGATACACACTATAATTTGTATGAACCCTGAAAACATGCTAAGTAAAAGAAGCCAGTCATAAAAGTCCAAGTTTTGTATATTTCCTTTCATACAAAAGTCTAGAATAAGCAAATCTCTAGTGATATAAAGTACATTAGTGGCTGCTTAGGGATGGTGGGATAGGGATGGAGGAACAGCAGGTGATAACTCAAGTATACAGGGTTTCTTTGGGGGATGTTATTTTTACTTAGTTTCAGGTGTACAACACAGTGCAATAGTTACACTTTTTATCCCTCAAAGTGACAACCCCCCCTCCTCCAATCTGCTGCCCCACTCCCCCCCCCACACCCCATATCATCCATATCTATTACAATTCCATTTATTCCACTCCCACACTATACTCCACATCCCATGACTATATATATATATATATATATTCAATTATAGTTGACATACAATATTATACAACATCAGCTTCAGGTGTACAGTGCAGTGATCAAGCCTCTNCCCCCAATTCCCCAATAAAAAACTTTAAAAAAAAAAAAAAGGAGACTACTTCCCAAGCTAACAATCTTAATGGTAAAAGACAATGTTTTCCTCTTAAAATCACAAACAAAGCAAGAGTGCCCACTCTCACACCTTCTATTCAACACAGTACTAGAGATTTTAGGCAGTGTAATGAGAGAAAAGGCATTCAGTTTGGAAAGGTAGAAGCAAAACTGTCTTTATTTTGAGATTACAGGATTATCCAGGTAGAAAATCCTGTGGAATCTATAAAAAAGCAACTAGACGTAACAAGTAAAGTTGCAGGATATAAGATCAATATACATAGTAGTAATGAACAACTGAAATTCAAAAAGCAATACCATTACAATAGCATCAAAACCATGAAATATTTAGAAATAAATGTGACAAAAGAGATATATGACCTGTACACTGGAAACTACAAAACATTACTCAGAATAATTAATGAAGATCTAAATAAATGAAGAGATATACCATGTTGATGGACCAAAAGATTCGAAGTTGTTAAGAGGTTAGTTCTCTCCCAAATTATTCTCTAGATTTAATACAATCCCAATCAAAATCCCAGAAAGTATTTTTGTAGAAATTGACAAGCTGATTCTAAAATGTATATAGAAATACTAAGAATCTAGAATATTCAAAACAATTCAGGAAGGAATCACACTACTTAATTTCAACTTATTATAAAGCTATAATAACCAAGACAATGTGAAATACTTTATTAAAAGATTAAATGTGTTTACATAGAAAAATCACACAGTAGTGAGGTAAAAATAGACAATATATCAATGAACAGTATAGAAAGAACAGAAATAGACTTGCACATATATGATCAATTGATTTTCAATAGAAGTGCCAAAGCAATTCATTGGGAAAAGAATAATCTTTTCAACAAATTGTTTCTAGAACAACTGAATACCCATGTGTAAAACAACCCTTACCTCACACCATAAACAAAATTTTAATTCAAAATAGGTCATATACTTAAATGTAGAACCTGAAACTATAAAATTTAGAGGAGAAAATCTTAGTGACCTTGAGTTTGGCAAAAAAATTCTTAAATATGACACAAGAAGCAAGAAATATAAAAGACAAATTTAATAAATTGAACTTGATAAAAATGTAAAACCCCAAAGGATACTATTAAGAAAATAAGGCAATACTTCTTTATATAATCTAAATACAACAAATACACACATTTTTCCTAAGTAATTTTATTTGTAATAACCAAAAACCGGACTACGTGACTAGACAAATTGTCGTATAGCCATACCCAGCCATAAAAAGAACTACTGAGATGCATCAAAACATAAATAAATCTCAAAAATATATGGGAAGCAAAAAAAAGCCATAGATAAAAGAGTTCATATGAAACTCAAAACAAATGTAATCTACTATGACAGGAAACAAATCAGTGGTTTCCTGGGAGCTAAAGTTTGTAGGAAGTAGGGAAGAAGGACTGACCTGGTTGGGGGAAAAGGGAACTTTCTGGAGTGATAGAAATTGTTCTATACCTTCATTTTGGTGGTGGTTTTATGGGTGAACGAATCTGTCAAAATGTATACATATATTTAAATTTTATTATATGTAAACTAAACCTCAAAGCTAATTTAAAAGAAAAAGCAACAATCTAGGAAATTAGTAACAGATGAATAGCACTGGGGGAGGCAGGACATGCAACCAAAATTCAACACCCAATCATGACAAGAATTCTCAATCTAGCAATAAAAGCAATTTCTTCAACAGAAGAAGGGCACCTACAAAAACGTGCAATTAATATTATACTTAATGGTGAAAAACTGAATGCTTACCTAAACAGAAACAAGGTAAGGATGTCCATTCTCACTCTGTGATCATGACACTTCAATGGAGTCCTTGGTAGTATCCAGAGTTACTCAACTATATTTTGCCAGTAAATTTGCTTTCTCTCTGAATGACCATTTTATCCTCTCCCTTCCATTTTTTCTTCAAACCTCTTAAACCCTTTTACCTGGCCCATTCTGAAATGGTAATTTCACCTCATATTTTATTTTTCACAAGGTAAATCAATCATACAAACTCTTTCACCTTCTTATCATCAAATCTTGGCCATCACTCAAGAGACCAAGTTATCTGAACAGCTTAACACTCAACCAAAACTTGGAGCATAAACATAGGTCTTAACCTAGAAATTCTAGGTAACTGATATTCTTCTATCAACAAATTTTACAAATCAAAGGCACAGACATGCTCATGCCCTGAAATCTGTCATAAAGCCATAGTCTAGAAGACAAAGATAACTAATACTCAACTTTTAGTTCCCCATCTTTGAGAATGGTTCTTGCCATTAAAAAAATTTATACATACATATATATGGTTTCTGACTAATAAATGTATTAAATAGGAAAAGTAGAGAAAAGCACAAAATACATATGCAATTTACATAGTATTTGTTCCTTACCTGCTGGTGCCGGGTGCTGGGAAAGGTGTACTGAACAGAGTGGGAAGGATAACGACTTTGTTCTGTGCTGAATGCTCCTTGGTTGGGAGGATAACCTGAATTTGACATTATCAGTAAAGAAGTCCTCACCAAGCTGTGAGATCAAGTCCAATAAACAATCATGTTTCTGGGAAACCACCTAAACAGAATTGGGAAAAACAGAATTGATGAGAACTAAAGCTCCAGATGTACTTCTAATAAATTATAACTACAGCTACAAAAATAATAAGCTTTCTCTCATGTATTTACTTAATAGAAGTTATTGATGTTTAAAAACCATTAATGCATCTTTTTCTTTACACTTAAAAAAAAGTTATTTAATAGAGCACAAATAATATAAGTAGCTATATAAAGTAAAAACATGTATATAAAATCTTAGGGGCTGGCCTAGTGGCTCAGTTGGTTGAGAGCTCACTAAAGAGTGCGAGCTCTGAGCAATGGGGTCGCCGGTTCGATTTCTGGCCCAAGCTGAGCTGCCACTGAGCTGCCAACAGGAGGCAGGATGGCTCAGTTAAAAAAAAAAAAAAAAGAAAAAATCTTAGCATGGAATCTGGCACATAGCAATTTCTCAGTAAATGTCTTTCTTTTGATAAAAGTTTGAGAAACAAATATGCTACAAAAACAAAAATCTATAATTGTAAATTTTGGGGGTTATGAAAAAGTCAATTGTTAAAAGAAATCAAGAGTATTTATAAGGTAAGCACTTGTGCAGAGAAAATATTGTGTTTGTTAAATAATTCTGCCCAAAATGATAGCCTAAGAAGGCACTCATGGGAAGAAAGCTTTCAAGGAAGAACAAAGTGAGACTATCACTTTCAAGGAAGAGAACTGCAGTGTTTATTAGGATTTAGTGAAAATTAGGATTTTGGAAAAACATGTATCTGCCACCATAAGCTTGACAGTTTCCCACATTTAAAGACTTTTCTGGCAAGACTGGTTTTATTCACACTGTATATTAAGTGTGAGTTTTTGATATTGACAAAATGTGCCAACATTTGAAATAACAGCATAAACTCAATGAATCAATTTTCCAAATGACCAATGTTACAAAATTATGCATGAACATTTATTTAAAGTGTAAGATATTTTAACCACAATTAAATAAAGTACAGGACAAACCAATAAATGTTTACTGTGATAGAATATGAAAGTTTCGTTGATATGGTTTCCGATTCTACACAGCAACTAACCTTTAAATAATTACTTCTCTGGTTTAGATGAGATATAAAGAATATCCACAATTATCTAAAGAGGCTATTAAAATACCCCTTCCTTTTCCAAATATATATCTGTGCGAGGTTAGCTTTTCTTCATAAACTTCAATCAAAACAACACATTGTGGATTTCCGGTCAAGATGGCAAACCAACTCAGCTAGCTGCTATTTACATGACTCTTTGTGGATACATTATTTTATTATAAAAGCATTAATAAGAATTATCGGGCCGGCCGAGTGGCGCGATGGTTAAGAACTGGCTTGGGATGCCAGAGGGCCCCGGTTCGGATCCCACATATGAGGGCCAGTGACACTGCNAGAACAAAAGGACAGCAACTTGTCTGTTCCCCTTCCCCCAATTCCCCAGCACTGTTCTCATCCCCCAATTCCCCAATAAAAATCTTAAAAAAAAAAAAGTTGGACAAAACGTAGGAACTATTTTCAAACATTGGAAAATAGGAAATAGGCTGCACAGGACTTGATCTCTGAGAAAAATGACACAAACGGGGTGAGTCCTACCATACCCCAGGCTTTCTGTCCCGATGTGATTTCCAAACTACATCCCTGGGAATAGAACCGAAACAGTGCCCCACTATCTTCTTCACTGGAGGAGCAGCAATACTAGTTTGGGAAAGCTAGATGAATAGAATTTCTGGAGGCTTCCAGAGAGGAGGAAGTTACAGAGAAAGGCTTCCTGAAATCTGAATTTGAGTTCCCTAAAGTCTTTGCCTAAATTCCAGTCTGTAAATGCATAGGAAAATCATAGCCCAGTCATTAAAGGATGGGCTAACAATAACTTCCGAAGAAAGAACAATTAGGAAGAACTATAAAACAATTTTAGAGCTCACACAGGGCCGGAACTCATTCAGATTTCCTCCAGCCAGAGGGAAGAAACTTCACTGAATACACCAGACATTCAGTAGATACCCTAAAGGAAACAAGTTTAGAAGTGGGGGATAAATAAGAGATAGAATAAAGCCTACTCTAGACTTGCCCTAAGGGTCTTTAAAAATAAATCTCAAAAGTAACTTAATTGCCTACCAGAAGGAATCCAATTTTTCTTAAAGGAACACAACAAAAGACAACACTAAAAAGTGTAAAATTCAGTGTCAAAAAATTCAATGAAAAATCCAATGTCTGCAATAAAAATTTCACTGGATGCAATTAACAATAAATTGGAAACTGCAGAAGAAAAGGTCACTGAACATGTCACTATAGCAAAATGAAGCAAATGGATAAAAAAAACAGAAAAAATAAAATGAACAGAGGTCCAGTGACCTGTAGGGTCATATGAAATATGAGTAACTGATGTCTCTCTCACAAGGAAATTAGAAGGAAAGAAGACAGAAAAATATCTGAAGAAATAATGGCAGAAATTTGCCAAAATATTATGAAAATTATAAATTCACAGAAGCAGGAAGCTCAACAACATAGACAGTTTTTAAAAAGCACAAAAAAGGCACATCACAATCAAAGTGCTAAAAATTACTGATAAAGAGAAAAACCTTAAAAACTGCAGGAGAAAAAAGACACTTATGTATAAATAAAGATAAAAATGACGACATCTAGTTGAAATCCATACAAGCCAGCAGACAACAAATGACATCTTTTAAAGTGCTGAAAGAAAATAATCGTCAACCTAGAATTCTGTATCTAATGAAAATATTATTCAAAAATGAAATGGAAGGCCAGCCGAGTGGCTCGTTGGTTAAGAGTTGGCTTGGGAGCGCGAGCTCTGAGCAGCAGGGCCGCCAGTTCGAATCCCACATGGGCCAGTGACACTGCGCCCTCTACAGCTAAGATGGTGAACAACAGCTCGACCTGGAGCTGGGCTGCTGTGAGTTGCCGACAACGACGTAGGCTGCAGCCCCTGCTGCAGTGGGCTGCCGTAAGCTACCGTGTGTGGCTGGCAGCCAGCGTGAGCAGCCGGCAGCTGGTGTGAGCTGCCGTGAGCCACCATCCAATGGCCGGCGAGTGACTGCCTCACCTGGGAAGAGCGCAATGTTCATAATACCACCATGGGCCAGTGAAGTGACGTCCTCCACAACTACACTGAAGAACAAAAAGACAACAACTTGTCTGTTCCCCTTCCCCAATTCACCAACGCTGTTCCTTCCCCCAATTCCCCAATAAAAAAATCTTTAAAAAAATGAAGCTGAAATAAAGTTTTCAGATAATTAAAAGCTGAGAAAATTCATTACCAAAAGACCTAACTAAGTGAAATTACAGTCTTAAGACAAAAAGAAAATGATACCAAAAGGAAAATAGAATATATACAAAAGATAATATATATGTGGGCAATTATTGAAGGAAAAAAATAATTCAAAGCAGAAATCAGTATGTAGAAAAATACTGAAAATGGATAAAACCAAAGCTAGTTCTTCAAAGAAAATAATCTATTAAATTGGTAAACTTCTAACTAGGCTAATAAAGAATAACAGGTTGGGGGAACACTTAACATGGGGAATAATATCACAACAGGTCTCAAAGGCATTGAAACAATAAGGGAATAGTATGACAACTATGTCAATAAATTTTACATCTTGAACAACAAAACCTACCCAAACTGACTCAAGAAAAAATAATCTGAATTCTAACTATTAAAGAAATTTATCTCATAATTTAAACACATCCCAAAGAAAATTGTAGGCCCAGGTGACTTCACTTATAAATTCTACCAAATATCTAAGGAAGAAAAAAATATCAATCCAAAACAAACTCTTTAAGAAGATACAAGAGGGCCAGCCAAGTGGCACGTTAGTTAAGAGCTGGCTTGGGACACCAGAGAACCCCAGTTCGGATCCCACATATGAGGGCCAGTGACACTGCCCTCTACAGCTAAGAAGATGAACAACAGCTTCAACCTGGAGCTGGGCTGCCCTGAGTCGCCGGCAACAGCGTAGGCTGCAGCCCCCACTGCAGTGGGCTGCCATGGGCTACCGTGTGTAGCCAGCAGCCAGCGTGAGCTGCCGGCAGCTGCCGTGAGCAGCTGTCCAGAAGCCTGCGACTGATCTGCCTCACCCAGGAAGAGCGCAATGATGGTGCCAACTTGGGCCAGTGAAGC